TTCTTCAGCTCCACCTGCAATCAGAAAAGACCTAAAACAGTGGAAATGCATGTGTGGGGCAACTGGGGGTTTAAAGAAAAGCAAAAGGCAGGACCATTCAGGGACATTCCAATGCTCTGTGCAATATGAAGCCAAAAGGGTAAAATTGTGGATCAGCAGAATGGCAGTGTGTGGGGACTCCCTAGTCACAACAGGGATCCACTCTCCCACAGCTTATATAGGGAGACTGCAGCAATCCATATCATCTTCTGCTCCATAGCCTGACTTAGTTGCGGCACAGGGGCTCAGTGCAAGCTACTACAGTATGTAGCTGTTCCTCACCCTGCACCCCTTCCCCTGAGCGTACATCCTATTTACTCTAGCTGTGCACTCTGATCAAGGATATGGTGGTTACTCAGAGCAGGGGTTCCCAAACTGTGGGTCGTGGCCCAAAGATGGGCTGCAACACAATCCGGGATGGTCCGCCATCAGCGGAGTTGGGGGGGTTCCTCCCTCCCAAACTGTACACGTTGGCGGAGTGGCAGCTGGCAATGGCCCCTACTCAGGGCCGAAGGAGTCCAGCGTCCCTGGCAGGTGGCAGAGCGTGAAGCAGAGGCACCGGGCCAGAAGAAGGGGCCACCCCTGAGAAACAACAGCTCCCAGGAAGGCTGGAGAGTTCGCAGCCATTCCCGTTGTGAGACGCTGCACCCCACGATCCATGGCTGTTCAGCCCCCTGGAGTATTGGCCCTGCAGCCCTCCAGGGATTGGGGATCGGCAGTGAGTGATCAGGACCATCAAGGCAAGGGCCGGGCCCAGCTAAGCACCTGCCTCTGCCCGGCACTGGCGGGCCCTGAGCCCTTCCCTCGCTCCCCAGCATGGGGTGCCTGTGAGGCATGCTAGGGTGCTGGGTAAAAGCTGCCAGGTGACCAGCTCAAGGCACTCAGCAGGCTGCTGAGGCAGAGGGTGTTGGCAAGGGCTGGCTGTGGCACCTGCCTGGCCCCTTTGCCCTCTCACGGGCCCTGCTTCCTGCTGAGGCAAGGAGCTGCACATACCCCCATGGGACCCCTCTCCCTGATGGACACATGTTAATAGTGGGCCACAGCGCCTATTGCAGCTGTACAGGTGGTCCTCAGGGAAAACTGTTTGGGAACCTCTGTATTAGAGTACAGTTTAACTGCATACCATTCCATAGACAACTTCATTACATTTTTATTATACAGTGATGTAACCGTTCTATTTACCTACCTTTCGTAACTGTTGCTCATGTCCATTCTTTGTTAGGTGTGCATGTGCTGCGTGCTCTGCTGCCAGATTTTTTTCCCCCAGTGCAGCGTTTCCCAAATTTTTTTGGCCACAGAACACTTTTTAGCCTATTACAGAACACTTATAATATTATTTTGTAATCGTTTGGTTTTCAAAAAAAAAAAAAAAGTGTTATTTATGCTCAAATATATTTTATTTTATAAAACAAAGCAAAAATACAAATTTAAAATAACTTGAACTAACAATTTCTAACTGGAAAGCACGTATAAAGTAGTACAAAAATCAAGTGCAAGAGTCAAAATTAAAAACAGTGTTCTACTTAAAAAAAAACTGGTTTTATAGATACACAAACACCAAACAAATTAGATTTTTTACTAGGAAAATCTATTTTTTTAAACAGAAATACAAATTTGGATTTAATGTGATTGGTGTTTTTGCGTTTTTCTATCACAAATTCGCTTAATATTAGGAATAATGCTGGAAAGTTGAATCCTCATGTCAGGCGCAGCATCAAGTCTATTCCTATATTTGGTTTTTGTTGCAGTATAATACGAAAATCCCGTCTCACACAAATAAGTTGTAGCAAAAGGAAGGAGCACTCGAACTGCACGTTTAGCCACATTAGGGTACTCTTCTATTAGGCTGCTCCAAAAGTTATTCAGTGGAAGATCCTTAAACTTTTGTTTCAAATCAGAGTCAGAAATTAAGTCAATTAGGCTTTCATAATCGTGTGCAGTAAAGCCGACTGGTTTGGCTGTAATTACAAACTGATTTCGAACCCAAGCATTATCATCAGTAGTTGTAGGAAAATATTCTAATAAAGAGGTCTGCAAGTCACGTAAGTGCTCTAAAATGGTGCTGGAAACTTCTTCATGGACCGTAGAATTTATTTCAGTCAGAAATTCATGTACTGTAGGGAAGCAAAGTTATTCTGTTCTACAGAAGACGCCCAGAATTTCAGTTTCTTTTTTAATGACGAAATTTTATCCATTGTAGTAAAAATGGTCACAATTCTTTCCTTGCAGCAACAGATTAATTTCATTTAATTTTGCAAAAATATCTGCAAGATACCCAAGTCTCATTAGCTATGAGGAATTTGTCAGACAATGATTACATTTTCGTTCTGAATTATCTGAAGTGAAGAATACCAGTAGTTCATTACAAAGCTCAAATAGCCTCACAAGCACTTTTCCTCTGGATAGCCACCTCACTTCCGTATGTAAAAGAAGCGCATTGTGCTGACTACCCATTTCCTCAAACAAAATTTTAAATAACCTGGATTGAAGTGGTCGAGATTTGACAAAATTGATAATTTGTACTGCTTCATCAAGCACAATTTTCAGATATGCTGGTATTTTTTTAACTGCAAGTGCTTGTCTGTGTAGAACGCAATGGCTTAGTGCTTTCTGGTGCCACACTTATGATTCGCGTTACAGCTCCCTTCATCTTCCCGATCATCGCCCGAGCACCATATATCAATACATTTTCCCCAACTAATTTCATGCTTTCTGATAAAATTGTTGATGCAGTTGAGTATTTCTTCTCCAGTTGTGTTGCTTTGCAGAGATTCACATAAGAGCAGGTCCTCTTCAATAATATTATTAAATCTATATCGGACAAATACTAGTAGCACAGCAAGTCCTGAAACGTCAGTGGACTCATCTAGCTGCAATGAATATTCATGGCAAATTTTCAGTCGGCAAACTAGCTCTTTTTCTATGTCATCGGCAAGATCTTTAATACGGCGTGCAACAGTATTATTTGACAACTATACAGCATCAATTTTTTTACTAGACTGCTCGCTCAACATGCACGTTATAATATCTTTCGCGCAAGGCTTGATAAGCATTTCTCCAATAGTGTGAGCTTCTCAGGCAAGTGCTATACGGTAACTTACTCGATAAGATGCCTCTGTTGCACTTTTGTTGTCTGTTTTAGCAATTTTAATCATCGAAAGTTTACAATTTCCAAATGAGTCACGCTTCCTCTTGAAAAAACTTATATCTTTGTCTATGTGTTCAGCATGCTTGGTTTCCAAATGCCTACGAAGTTTAGCAGGAGCCAATGAACTGTTTGCTAGTATTTTGTTGCACACGACGCACTGCGCATCAGGAACATCTTTATTTCCAACACACGTAAAACCGAAAGACAAATAACTTTCATCATACTTTCGTTTCGGTCTTTTAACACCTGCTTCTTCTTGTTTTTTGATATCCAAGGTGAAAGAATTTCCATCGAAGTATAACTCACTAGTACTAACCGATTTTTCAGCAAAAAAAAGACTGCGATTGTTCATCCTCACTTTGAAGTGACTCAATATTTTGCTCATTTATTTCGGCCACAGTTGGAGTACCAGAAGAACTTGCTTTTCGTTTCAAAGTTCCTTTTTAGCCACAAATCCATGGTGATTAGGTTTAGTAACAATATTTAGAAATACTGATTTTTGTCAAATTTTGTTTGTCACAAATATTTATATTGTTTCGAGCTAAGCTAGTTTAGTTGTGCTTACCGCACACACGGTAAAGACCCACAGGTTTAAACGTGTTGAGTGAATATGTTATATTCAACATGGTGTAAAGAGAATGGTGTGTGCATACCACTGCAGTTCGTGCAGCCTCGAGCGGAAGGGGTATGACGTCACTAACTGAAACATGCCCGAAAGGGGTAGATGTCAACATGCTTGCATGCCATGTTCTCTTTACGCCATGATATTCAATACGAGATCAATAACCAGAAAAAGAGTTTTATGTTAAATTATAGTCATTCAAAAAGAGTTGTAAACTACCCTTCAAATATGCCAAATTTAAAATAAAAAAAAAAAATTTAAAAACCCTTTTTAAAAAATATGATTCTTTCACGGAACACCTATTCACATCAGGCGGAACACAGTTTGGGAAACACTGCCCTAGTGGGATCCGTAGGCCCGGCTCCGGTGCACTCTGGATTGCCACGGTCATGCACCAGTATATGAGGTGCTGCCTGCCCCGCACCCTCTCAGTTCCTTCTTGCCGTCAACTCCGACGGCAGGGACGGAGGGTGGGTAATGGAATGGACGTGAGCAACATATCTCAAAGGACAGTTATGAAAGGCAGGTAACTGTTTTCTCTTCTTTGAGTACTTGGCTTATGTCAATTCCATATTAGGTGACTCACAAGCAGCATCCCTGGAAGTGGGCTCAAAGTTCACGGACATGCGGCTTGCAACACAGCTCTGCCAAAGCTGTCATCATCTCTGGCCTATTGGGTGATGGTGTAGTTCAATGCAAACGTATGCACCAATGACCAAGTCATGGCCCTGCAAAGGTCCTGCATAGGACTATGAGCCAGGAAGGCCGCTGAGGGTGCCTACGCTCTTGGGGAATGAGCCTTTACAATGGCCAGTGGCGGGATCCCTGCTTGCTCGTAGCAGGCTCAGATACAGTCCATGATCCAGGAGGAGATCCTCTGGGCTGACAGCAGAAGGCCCTTCATCCTATCTTCTATCACAACAAAAAAACTGCATCAATTTGTGAAAGGGTCTTGTCCTGTCAATATAAAAGACTAGGACCCTTCTTACATCCAGAGAATGCGGACGCTGTTCCTCTTCTGACTTATGCGGTTTCGGGCAGAAGACTGGTAGAAAGATATCTTGTTTGATGTGAAATTGCGACACCACTTTGGGCAAAAAATCTGGATGAGGATGCAGCCAGACCTTGTCTTTGAAGAAGGTGGTTTAAGGGGGTTCAGAGGTTAACGCCTGAAACTCAGAAACCAATCACAACTACTGGCCTTTCCTCCAAACCTCTACCCTGGAGGGGAACTCTTCTACCTAGCTCCTCTTTCCTGGGTCTTCCACTTCTAAGGGAGCTCTCTCTGCTCCTTATAACACCTAGCTGCTCCTTCTCTGGCCAGGAGACAATCAGTTAAACATTCCTAGGTGCAGAGCATAGCTCATCTCCCTTGCCTTACAGGTGATGGGAATTAAGCACCATCACAGTGCTATTCTTGAATTAAGCCAGGGATAGTGTTTTCTTGATTCAAGAAAACTTTAGAACTCCTTTCCCAAGCATAGCCACAGGCAATGTTGCCAACTCTCACAAATATTTGATGTATTTCTTAAAGCCCCATGTCCTGGAGTCATGTGATATGTGAGAATCTCAGCCTTCATTTAAAAAAATTTTGGCCCTCATGGCTGTAAAGAAAAGCTTAAAGACTTGAACAGAGTGTACCTTGAAGGTTTTTTAAAAAAGTAAAAGTAAAATAAAAAAAACTATGAGGTTATTTTTAAGCCTCATTATCTTTAAACCAATTTAAAGATTTCTGGGGCCTGACTCAGGATTTTTGAACACTTGGGGTTGGCAATACTGAATCAATGTCCCTCTCTAGCTGTCTTCAGAGTTAGGGGAAAGACCTTTACATACAAGCTGGTATTAGAATGGCCATTTTTGCGTCCTGTTTTCACTAGCTTTTCCTCTTTGGACCTTTTAGGTTTTGCGTTCAGGAAATGCATTGTGCCTAGTTGTTTAAAGAATTGCTCCTCCAAAAGAGAGGAGCATTCTGGCCCCAAACCAGCAAATCATGTAAGTCCATGCTTAACTTGAAAGTCAATTGGAGTACTTGTGTGTTTAAAAATTCGGTAAATGCTGTATGTACTTTGCTGCCTTGGGGCTAGGATGCAAAGCATCTTGTAGGCTCAGCATTTTGTAGGCTCAAGCATCATAGAAAATGTGTGTGGGAAGAGCACTATTTATTTTACAAAATTCATTGACAATATTTCACCATCCAAAAGTTATGGAATGTGTTGTCCAGAACAGTGGTTTTCAAACCTTTTTTTCAGCAACCCAGTTGAAGAAAATTGTTGATGCCTGTGACCCAATGGAACTGGGGATGAGGGGTTGGGGTGTGGGAGGGACTCAGGGTTGGGGTGCAGGGATAAGAGCTGTGGGGTGAGGCCGGGAATGAGGGGTTCAGAGTGTGGGAGGGGACTCTGGGCTGGGGCAGGGGTGCGGGAGGGTTCAGGGCTCTGGGCTGGGGATGCAAGCTCTGGGGTGGGGCTGGGGAGGAGGAGTTTGGGTTGCAGGAGGGGACTCCGGGATGGGGGAGGGGATTGGGGCATGGGCTTACCTCGGGCGGCTCCTGGTCAGCGGTGCAATGGGAGTGCTAAGGCAGGCTTCCTGCCTTTCCTGGCACTGCGGACCATGCTGCAACCTGGAAGCAACCAGCAGCAGGTCTGGCTCCTAGGCTGAGGCACGCAAGCGGCTTTGTGCGGCTCTCGCCCGCAGGCACCGCCCCCCCAGCTCCCATTGGCCGGGCCCCAGACCTGCAGCCAGACCTGCTTCTGGCCGCTTCCGAGGCACAGCGTGGTGTCAGAACAGGTAGGAACTAGCCTGCCTTAGCCAGGCAGCACCACCAATGGGACTTTTAACGGCCCGGTCGACGGTGCTGACCAGAGCGGCCGCAACCCAATGCCTTACATTCTGTGACCCAGTACTGAGTCGCGACCTGCAGTCTGAAAACCACTGGTCTAGAATAACAGGACTTCATATTTCATATCCAAGATGCTGTGATAGGTAGACTATAACTGAATGGAGCCTCTTTCCATTTTACTCATCACTACAGAGATTATACACTAAATAAAAAGGGAGAACTAAACATATGTGGTGACTGAACATTGATATCCCCTATTTATATTTAGGTATCTGTTGGACAAGCAGACCTGTATATGAAATATATACAAAGAGCAGCCATACGCTATACAAGGACACTAATAATTTCCGTATTATCTATACATCTGAAGCCTCAACTCACCTTCTTACATCCCTTATTAACACTTCAGTAGTCCAAGCAAACAGGAAAATTTTTAGCAAGACAACAATACAGTGCCTTTTCCAAACCAACACTGAAACAATCAGATACTTATCAATGGTACCCACATGTTCCACAGACCACAAACAGCACTATGCTGAGTGGTACAGCTATTCTACCGTGACAAGGCAATCCCTCTGGTGTGGATAAGTGAACATTAGTACGGTCTTTTGAGTAAGAAAACCATTTTCTTACTCAAAAGACCGTACTAATGTTCACTCAGTTGTTCTAATAAAACATGCATACTCAGAGTGAACCAAGGGGAAAAAGTATGGGGGGAAAAAATCACATTAATTTATTGGCTATCATTTCCCTCTAAGATTGATTTTAATTTTTTTTAAACTCAGTAAATGTATTAAACACTTGGCTAGTACACAGTTCATTTGCAGGCATATGAAAACATCTATTAAGGACACTATAATCAAAAAACATGAGTAATATTATAGAACAACTTTTTACTATATTTTTATAAAAAAGATACTAGGAATGCTTGATGAATACTATGCGCAATAGGTCAATTACAGAATAGGATAGTAAAGAAAATACCAGAAACCATCATATGGAAGGTGACAGGTTGTGAAACAGTGAAATTTGCAGATTTAGGACACTGTTGTGTCTGGTCTTCAATCCTAAGGCGAAAAAGCTACTCACTTTGCAATAATTATTCTGGCAATTTTACTGAACATTTTATTTTTTCTTATTTTGTTTGTATTTAAACTACTTTTGTATGACAATTTTATGTACTGCTGATACTTTTCTTGAATTTGTAGATGTGTGACCATAAATTAAAATTAAATCTGCACAACCAAAATGTTCAACATCTTGCACTATATGCACTGATTGTGGCAGTGGTGGAAAGGTCAGGGAAAGCAGTGTGCATGTAAAAGCAGATGTACTCTAATAATTGAAGGTAGAAATGCCTACAAGAAACTTAAAATACATCCATTCCTTAATTGAGCAAGTGACAATGTGATCTGATCTCAGCTAATGTTTGTTAAGTGAAACGATACACAAATCTAGTGAGTGGATGTCAAGTTATGTAAATATGTGGTTCAGACTCATTCTTTCATTGGAATGTGGCCCATCTACCAAGTCATACACAAGTATAGACATCTGCATACTTTCACTATTTATGACTGGGGACATCACCTTAGCGAACCTTACCACAGAACGACACTGTATGGTACAGTGAGGTAATTTTACATATTTTTAAATGGAAAAGTACTAACATCCAGCAGGTGAGAAGTTTTAGTAGAGAAGATTGATCTCCGATTTCTAAATAGATAAAAATCACTCTATCCTTAACTACAAGGAATCTCAGATATTTTTATGAAGTCAAATGGATACAATCTTCAGAACAAAAAAAATTGTTATTTTTCTTTTAAGGCATATATTGGTTTGTGAAATAAAATACTGTTTTAAGGTGTGGGGAAAATGAGATTTCTCAGAATTATAGCGCTTTTTAAAATCTCTTCACAATAAACTACCAAATTGGGGGCCAATTGTACCCTCCTATAAAAAGACACCCACAGTAGAGGTAGAGGAACTCCATGAGATCATTACTGTGGAGTTTTCCTTCAATAGTCTCCTCGAGAGGGGGACTTTGGGTACCAAGCAGAGGCAGGAATTCTGCTGCCAATAGCAGAGTCCTTCCATAGCTGCACAGTATGAAGTTTTCAGATGTTAAATGCTGCTTCAAGCAAAACTCCCAGTAGGGTTAACAAAGCTAGTTGGGTCGAAGGGTAGAAGCCAGACTAAAGGCAGTCCACCAGTCTTTCTGGTAGGGGGTTGAGAGTCAGGCTAACAACCTGACCATACAAAAATGCTTTCTGTTATTATGGAATCAGCCCAGAGACAAGATGAGTCTGTCACAAACTTGCTAATACAAATCAACTGTGGAGAGCCACAATCTGCTGGACATAAGACAAGATAGTACTGGCCAACCAGCCAACACTATGATGATGTTGAATCAAAGCTGCAAGGAATTTCTGAAAGTGAAACAAGGTATCTTCACAGCTAAGGTTAACACAAGAATTGGATATTGGAATATTAGATCACTTTGGAGCGCAGGTAGGACTCAAGTTATCAGAGAAATGAAAATATCTGCCTGAGTATACTTGGACTGAATGAGATGAGGTGGACTGGACAAGGCAAATCATCATCAAAAGGCCTGAATGTTTTATATTCTGGAAGACAGGATGACAAAAAACACTGGGAAGCATTAGATATATTATTCAGCAAGGAAGCTAAAACACTGAATGAATGGGAACCTGTAAACTCAAGAATACTGACTGCTTGCTTTGTGATGAACCATGCAAAAGTCACAGCTGTTCAGTATTATATGCCAACAAGTGACAATGATGAACAGGTCAAAAACTGTTTCCATGAAAAACTGCAGTATGTCCATAGTCAGACCAATAAAGATGACATTGCTTTTAAAATATCCCGATGAGGATAACACAGGCTGGTGATGAGAATACTGAATATGAACACATTATGGGCAGACATGGCATGCCAGGGCAGATTGACAATGCAGAACATTTAGTTAAATTCTATGGTCCATGCACTCTTTGCATTGTGGGTACATTATTTCCATGCAAGGAAAAGCAAACTGATATGGAAATCTAATGATGGCTTCTCCCAGAAACAGCTTGAGTGTGTTACCATTAGAAGAAGCTGGAGAAGAACACTGTTGGACACTAAAGTGTACAGGAGTGCTGATGTTGGAAGTGACCACCATCTTGTTATTAGGATAACAACAATAAAACTAAATAAGGTAAGGCCATGCAAGGCAAATGGCATCTATGATATTAGAAAGTTAGTATATCCAGAAGTGAAGGCACATTTAAAACCGCAACTTAGAAATCGATTTGAAAAGTTAAAAGACACTGATGGATGATGTAACCAAACAATGGCAGTTTCTCAAAGAAGCAAGTGTGGATGCAAAGATCTAAGAAAAAATAATGGCTCCAATCAAATATATGGAGGCTTGTTGAAGACCAGTATGAAAGAAGGAAACAGCAGTAAAAGAGCTATTTCGCAACAAAAATATGCGAACAAAAGACAAGAAAGTTAAAAGATCAGCAAAAAGAGAGGAGACAATGTATGGAAAATAAAGCAAGAGAAGCTGAGGTGGCATACAAGAAAGGGGATTCTAAAAAGGTTTTACTAGTATCTGTAAAACTGACTTAATTCTCAAACCGTTGTGGCCTTGTGAAGACTTGAGATGGTGTAATTTTAACCACAGAGGAAAGGTAGAGAGCCCATTAGATGGAACATTTCCAGCTGCCCTTAATCAGCCAGAACACTAACACAAAGAAATGTGAAGAAATAGCAGACAACTTATATCACTAAAAGTAATTGCCTTTGAGGAAGTAACTAAAAAGTCATAAATCAACTGAAGAGAGAGGTAAAACACCAGACTGAGGGTATGTCTACACTACGGGATTAATCCGAATTTAGATAATTCGAATTTGGGAAACAGGTTGTATAAATTCGATTGTGCGCGGCCACACTAAGCACATTAATTCGGTTTTTAACCACATTAATTCGGTGGTGTGCGGCCACACTACCCCATTAATTTAACCACAGTAATTCGGTGGTGTGCGGCCACACTAACCCTAATTCGAATTAACAAAATCGATTTAGGCGCTACTCCGCTCATCGAGGTGGAGTACAGAAATCGATTTTAAGTGCCCTTTAATTCGAATTAACTGGCTCTGTAGTGTGGACGGGTGAAGGGTTAATTCGGATTAACGCAGCTAAATCCGAATTAAAGTCGTAGTGTAGACCAGGCCTGAGATAAGATAGATTCCAAAACATTAAAAGATGGAGAGGAAGTGATTCATAGATTCATAGATTCTAGGACTGGAAGGGACCTCAAGAGGTCATCGAGTCCAGTCCCCTGCCCGCATGGCAGGACCAAATACTGTCTAGACCATCCCTGATAGACATTTATTTAACCTACTCTTAAATATCTCCAGAGATGGAGATTCCACAACCTCCCTAGGCAATTTATTCCAGTGTTTAACTACCCTGACAGTTAGGAACTTTTTCCTAATGTCCAACCTAGACCTCCCTTGCTGCAGTTTAAGCCCATTGCTTCTTGTTCTATCCTTAGAGGCTAAGGTGAACAAGTTTTCTCCCTCCTCCTTATGACACCCTTTTAGATACCTGAAAACTGCTATCATGTCCCCTCTCAGTCTTCTCTTTTCCAAACTAAACAAACCCAATTCTTTCAGTCTTCCTTCATAGGTCATGTTCTCAAGCCCTTTAATCATTCTTGTTGCTCTTCTCTGGACCCTTTCCAATTTCTCCACATCTTTCTTGATGATTAACTGCACCTGCAGATTGTATAGAATGGTTTAAGAATCCTAGATCTGTCCTAAAGATAAGACAAAAGGTGTTATCTGCAAAATTCCCAAGGGAGGAGAGGGGGGGAAACCGACTTATTTGTGATAACTGGAGAGATAATGTTATCTGTACCTGGTGAAGCATTTTGCATTATTTTGAATATGGTGAAAACTGCTGTTGATTAAATACTCAGGGAAGATCAAACTGGATGTCAATCCAGTAGGTCGTATCCAGACCAGATTTTCACCTCAACAAGACTTGAGAAAAGCCTAGAATACCAGCAGAAGATGGTTTTTAAAGTTCCTTGATTTTTATGGAAGTGTTTAATATAGTGTCTACAGAAGCCTGCTGGAAGATCCTGAGGCACTCTGGAATTCCAACAAAGATGTGAATTCGATGAAAGCCTTGTATGACTAGTCTGCAGGTTGCATCTGGACAGAAAGCGTAGACATGGAATGCTTTAAAATTGCTATTGCATAATTATCCCCACTTCTCTTCTGCACTGTCACAGACTGTGATGAGTAGAGTGACAGCTGCTGCCAACGACAATGGTATTGTTTAGGCAAGAAATAAGCTGTGAGACTTAGATTTTGCAGATGATATTGTCATACTAGATACCAACTTGGACAAAATGAAAAAAAGACTCTTTATGAGCATAAAAGCAGAAACTACTACAGTGGGATTGTGTGTCAGTACATAGAAGACCAAGACTATGGAGGCAGGAGAGAATGCTGTCAATACAGGCACATATGTGATTGATGAAGAAGAATACGGAAGAGTTGATGACTTCCTCTACCTTGGATGTACAATATCTGCTCATGGCCAACTCACTAAAGTAGCAAAGGCAAGAATCAGTGAAGCCAGAGGATCATTTTCTCATTTGTCAAACATCTGGAAGAAGAAGATACATATATACAGTAAGATGAGATTGTTCTCCCAGGACTGCTGTATGACTCAGAAACATGGCAGATAGTGGATGTACACAGCAGAAAGCTCAATGCATTCCACCAGCATTGAAAAGAATCTTGGGAATTTACCAGGGAGATTATGTAACCAATGTGGAAGTATTGTGCTGCATGGGTCAGCAGACTGCAGACTCAAATTATACAGACACAGTTCTGGCGATCTGGTCAGGTAGTTAGGCTACCCTATGACAGAACCACAAGGTATGTCTTAGATTGGATTCCACCTGGAGGGAAAAGGCAGCGTGAAGGACAAAGAATGATCTATTATATGATGATTGAAAAGGATTCTACCATCATGAATACAAACTTAAGATGGAGTCAAACATCTTGATCCAGACAGGCAGCAGTGGGGAATATGGTTCACTTCATGTGCCACCAGGCACAGCAGACTATGTCTAAGTTAGCAGTTGGGCCAAAACTAAGTACTGTGGGAGGAGCAACACCATATAACTCCAGTAGAGAAGCTTCTGCAAGGTTCCAAGGTCTGGGGAATACTATGTCACAGAAATTGTGCTCCCATGGTTCCATACCCACTACTCCAGATTTGTTGTATTCTATCCTAGTTAGATTGGACTTTGGGTCAAATTCAGACCTTGTGCAGGCAGATTTTACTCCAAGTCAGTGGAGCTGTATTCACCAATATCAGGAATTAATTTTGACTTATTTTTAATCTCAAATTTCTCCTTCCAAAAAATAAAAAACCCAAAACAAATATATTTTTCTAAAACAATCAGAAACATTTGCAAGAGAGCTCTGAGATATGAGAAGCTGTTTTGTTTTAATTGTTCCAATTTCACTGACCAAAGCATTCAGGTACTGGATAAATAATTAAGCTTTGAGAAATTCCATTTTCTTCATCTCTCTCATAACTTGAGCTAAGCATAAAAAGAAGCAGTAGCTTATGTAGAAAGTTCTACTTATACATTTTCTTGATTTCTTTATCTTATTTGCTTTTTAGAGATCTTCATGAACATAGGAATAGGAGAATTCATTAAAGAAGAAGATACAAGCATAACAGGAATATTGCTCAACTCAACTGTAAACAAATCAGTAACTTTGGAGATCCAACAAAAAGTCAGGCAGAGACAAACAAGGTAAAAAATTCTAGGTATTGATTTTTATTTCTGGCTTTCCTTTAAAAACCTTCTTCAGGAAATTGAGGAAAATTTCTCTACACAGTAGTGAGCTGGAACAGCTTGCTCCACACCCCCAATTCAGCAAAGCACTTAAATCCTATGGAGTACTCACATGCTTAAGTACTTAAATCAGGGACCAAAAGAAAGAGTGCTCACCCTCTCCCAAATGATATGTGAAACAAAATCAGAAGTCTCTATAATTGTATTTCAAATTTATTTTTTCTTCAACACTTTAAATAATTTAGAAAAAGTAAAATGAAAATATATAGGAAGTGTAAATTATACCAGGAAAATACGACTGAATACTGAATGAGAATAAATAATATGTAAATGTAATATGGACTACTACAGGAGAATTACTCATACACACTGGAGAAGATTTTCAAAGTCACAAATGTCAGTTAGTTGCCTTTGAAAACTTTTTTCACTTTTTGTGGATATGGATAGAGGTTTTTTTTTTTTTTTTTTTTTTTTTAAAAAGATTAAATTAAAACACTTTCTTTAAACAGGCAGTCACACGGCCTTTTCTCAGTCTTGATATAGTGATCTGACAATAGCAACAATATCCTTTGGAGTACCAATGATTCCACCACTACTCCATATGTGACTGGTTGCTGCATTCCAAGATCTAGATACAATTGCTGTTCTTAGGTCATATTGTTTACTACCCGAATCACAGGTATCCAAAGTGAATGTTAAAATGACAGCTGACTAGTCAAACTGTAAAATCAAGAACCATCTCAAAAATGGAGAATGGATTTGATATCAGTATTTATACCCTTGAGATGATTGCCCAGTCACAAAATACTACATCATTTACACATATTAGTGGCATGAAAATAACAGATGTCAACACGACTAAAAAGTAATGCTATGATTAATAAAATCAGAGTTCATTTTATATAAATTTATTACAACTGACTTTTAAATTATTTTAAATGTCATGGCAGCATATGGTTGGCAAAGTGAAGTCAAATACCCAACAACACTGACATTAGATGCTGGCTGAACCTGATGCCAAAGAAAAGCACTTTAATCTTCCATTCTAAAATGGCATTTTGTTAGCAAAACTGTGAAAAAACACTTTTTATAAATTCCATTACCAAGTGTAGTTTCTGCTTCCAGTTCTATAGCGATGGAACTGCAGAACTCTGAACAGCATGATGTAAAAGTACTTCACAATTAATATTCTTTGTTTGGGAAGTGCCATATCATTTATACAACTTTTTAATGAGTTCATAATAATTGTGGATGAAGGCTTAGAATGATATTTAGTCAATAGAACGTAAGTTAAGACAACCATATATCAATACACAGTATGCAACAGTCATAATATACATTATAAAGATATAGTTATTTATATGTGCAGAAGTAATGTTCAAACATGAAAATTCAGATGAAATATCTAGGTATTTTTTTAAAAAATACTTATTACTGCAACCTGTATTTTTTCACTACAATCGTTCTATATCAATCCATACCATGGAACACTGTAGTATTAGTGTGAAAATTGTAAAGTAAAAAAAAAAAATTCTAATTTTGAAACATTAAGAAGGTCTCTGCTTCATTTTTAGAAAGTCCATAAAAATGGATGATATATTTTTATTCCACCCCTGATTAGAAACTCCAGTGCCAGTTTTTAGACAAAATGAGTTTAAGGATGAGACAAACCCTTCTAAAAAGGAGTGTTCAACATAGAGAATGGAAGACTTAACATATTGCTATGCTAGTTGGTACCAATAGACATCATAAAATGCATCTTAAATGTTATTCATAATAAAAACTTGGTTTTTGCATAGTGGTTGTGGCTGTCTTATGTCTTATCTACAAGGTTGTGTTCTTTAAATCATGTAGTTTGACACCCTCTTCAAGAGCTTAACCAATAAACCATGTAATAATTTTGTTAAATCAAAACATCAGTTCAGTACATGTTTACATGAAAAAAAAATATTAAAAGCTTACCTCACACCATATGGATTTCACAAGATCAGAATTTAATTCCTGATTTAAGGCTTGAATAGTTCGATGTTTTGCGATAATCCTACAATGCTTTAAGTCACTCTTGTTTCTCCTCTGCTCCACATAATCCCAAGCAACATCTCCAATATGACCTGAAGGTAAAGTCCTAACAATTGCCCTGGTTCCAGTATAAACTGATTTTTTAACCTCCTTATCATTTTTACAAAAACGTCTGATTAGTAAAGTGGAACGTTCCTTTTTGTTTCTATAAAACTCCTCCTCCATCCCTTCTTCACAGTTATCACTGCAATCTTCAAAATGGCTCAGAAAGGGCTTTGAGGACATTTTTCCAGTAAAATTACCACCATAGAAGCTGTGACTTGAGCATGCCACTTTAACCTTTCGTGCTGCTCTTTCGACACATAAATACTTGTCCCTTAAAGTGTCACAGTTATCACACAACTGTTGTCCATATTTATTGTCACAATTATTTGTCAATTCCATTAATTTACAAGTGCAGGCTGTTGAATCGCTGGTGTGTTCATTACCAACATTTACATGCTGTAAACAGTCACCCAAAATGAAGCTGTTGTGTAGTGTGCACAAAGCTTTTGATATATTTCTTTCACTAGCATAGCGAAAGTGAAACACTGCTACATTATCAGCATCATCGGTGCCACTTTTATTTACCGCTGACTGGTTTCTTAATGACTTCATCTCTACTGAAGGTCCATCCATCTTCAACTGAATTTCAGCAAACATGGTCCTTTCCTGTGAAGTAGAAATTCCAGTTTCCAAGCATGTGTGTTCTTCTGCTAAAGAATCACATGATTTATGTAACTGGTTATGCGGAACACTGCTCTTGCATTTTTTCTTTATAATGTTGCAATTCATGTTCAGAAACTCCACTGAACCAGGGATGCATGTGTTTTTCTCCCAGAAGTTTTCATTATTCCTGTTATCAGTAATTTCTTCTCCATTTGCCAAAGAGAAAATTTTGGGCAGCGAGCCCTGAAGATGTTCTTCTTTAAGTCTGTGTAAGTATGAGAAAGTATGTGTAGTCTGCCTTCCTTGATTAGCAATATGTCTTTTTATAACATTGGTGTCCAAAGCATTTTCACTATTTCCATCTCCAGCTGACTGAGCAGGTATCACTTTACCCTGTGCCACAGACACAAGTACAGAAGCTGCCATTTCCTCAGAGGTCATTTTGACACAGTTTTTAGATAATGTTCTGTTTTTCCTCACTGATAATTATACCATGATTTCAGTGTATGAAAATTCAGTGCTAAATTATCAGTGCAGACACACTGTGTAAAAACACGTTGAATCCTTTATTACTTTTAAAAGCATATGCATTACGAACTGCAGAGCTTTACCAGCTGTGGATTACTGATGTGAACTACAGATTTTTTTAAAGCAGTTTTTTAATGTGATATTGCCAGTTGACAATTTTCTTTCCACTGTCAGCATTTCTGTCATACGCAGGGTACTCTGTTGCTACAGTTTGTAGAAGAAGAGCATATTTGAACATATAATCCATCACAAAGATGCATCTCACCATATAACATCCAATTTTAATTAGTTTCCTGCAAGAAAAAGACAATGTGTTAAATTCCATGGTATGAAATGCATAGTCATAACAACAACAAGAAATAGTTAGTATGTAAAGCTGTTCATAGAATGTTAAGAGGACACCATCAACTTGAGATCTAATGAACTGAAAAAAAAATAAGTTGAAAATAATTTCAGGAAGTCTATCTGTCTTAGGGAACATCTACACAACAAGCAGCAGCAAGTCTCAGAGCCCGGGTCAACTAACTTGGGCTTGCAGGGCTCACGCTACAGGGCTAAACACAATAGTGTGGATGTCTGGGCTTGGGTTTCAGAACCTGGGCTACAGCCCCGTAGTACGGGCCCTGCAAGCCCAAATCAGTTGATCGGCCTTGAAGACTCACTGCCACAGGCCTTTTTGCTGAATAGACATCCCTTTAAACTCCCTCCATCAATATTTACAGTTTTACGATCACATTTTCTTATTTTAAAAAATGTTTTTCTCTACACTGTTGTATGAAAAAAACACAAACAGGAAAATTTGACTGTATAGGGTGAAACTGTTTATATTATGTATGTTCAATTTTACAAAGTGAAAAACACTTGGTTTTATATGATCTCTTTCAGAATTATTTTAGGGGTTACTTACCACTAAAGTTGGTAAAACTATTTTCAGAAAAGTTTAATTATTGATGTCCTTTGAAAAATAATTGATTCTTTTCATCAAAATTAAAGATATAGACACACAGTAGGGGGGCAAGTTACAACACATATGGATTGGTCATGCCTTAACAGGGGTTTTTTAAAGATTACATGACTATCCTTAATTGCCCTTAAACCTTGCCACTACGAGGTAACTCATTTCTTCTAGTCAAGTGTCTTGCGTCAAGGCTGCTACCACTGGTACAGCAGAGGAGATGAGAGAGAAAAGTAAAAAGACGGTAGTGCAGGGACTTGAGGGCAAGGACAGAGGATTGAACTTAGTATGAAGGAGGAAAAGCCAGAGAAGAGATCTAACTGAACATGACACAGTCAGTGTGACATTACGCTTCATAGTCGTTATGTAAATATGCTTATGATATGGACATGACATAACTGAGATGTACTTTATGCAAGATGACTCATGTAAGATATCATTAAAGGTTATGATTTACTGAATGTGTTTATCCAACTTGTATGCATGTATTATTTTTGTATCTGAAGCTGGGAATATTGACCATGTCTCTGTATTTCAAATGTGCTACATTAGATGAGGCCAAACAATGTTAGTGGCTTATTGAAGAAATGAACACAAGCATAAGGATTACCCCAGGAACAGTGTGCAATAGAAACCGCTCAGAGATAGCTCTACACAATGGGAACTGTTTGACCCAGGTCACAGCAAAAAAAGCTTTCCAGCAAGTGGGGGAAAGATATAAAAGAAGGACAATGACAACATGTGGGGTCCTCACTCTCTCTACAACAACACACCTGAAAACACCTGAGGAACAAAGACTGAACTGTCAGAAGTGATAGTCACACAGACTAAAGATCTTAGCCTGGGTATGAAAACCTGGAAAAACCAAGGCAACCTTAAGAATCTGCCAACCTGTTTATCACTCAGGGTGTGAATTTGCTAATTTATATCCTACCTATCTAGTGTGTCAAGTTTAGTTTGCATGTTTTGTTTCATTTGCTTAGTAATCTGCTTTGTTCTGTTCGCTATCTCTTGAACCACTTAAAATCTGCCTTTTATAGTTCATAAAATTTGTTTTGTTTATTATTAAACCCAGTTTATGCAATTTCTAACGGGGGGAGGGCAAGAAGTCGTGCATCTCTCTCTTCGCATTGAGGAAGAGGGTGAATTTTATGAGCTTGCACTGTACAGATATTTCTATACAGTGCAAGACAGTATTATTTTGGGTTTGTCTCCCAAAAGGGGTGGGCACGTGAGTGCTGGGGTGGCCCTCTCACACAGAGCTGACTTCAGTCTGTGCCTGCAGCGGGGTGGGGCCCTACTTTTGTGTGTGTGTGTGTGTGCGCGCGCGCGCTACAAGAGGCCAGAGAGCCTAATTCATCAAAGGAGAGGGAACCCAGGTTGGTTGAGCAGGAGAGGCTCAGTTAAACCCCAGTACATCAGGTGTCATCCCGGATAGGAGGGGGGAGTCCAACCCGTCACAGTCAGAACAAGCATTTTAGTACAGTAACTCCTCACTTAAAGTCGTCCCACTTAACGTTGTTTCGTTGCTGATCAATTAGGGAACATACTCATTTAAAGTTGTGCAATGCTCCACTCTTACGTTGTTTGGGTGCCTGCTTTCTCCACAGCTGGCAGCCTCCCTCCCCCCGCAGTGCCTCCTGCCCACCAGCAGACCCTGCGGATCAGCGCCTTCCCCCTCCCTCCCCCCACGGCAACCAGCTGGCTTGCGACGTTTTGGAGGCAGGAGGGAGGAGCGAGGACTCGGCACGCAGGCTACCCCTCCCTCCCCTGCCTCCTGAATGCTGCAAGCCAGCTGATTGCCCTGGGCAGGAGGGGAGGGAGGGGGAGTCTGTGCCAAGTCCTTGCTCCTCCCTCCTGCCTCCTAAACACCGCAAGCCAGCTGATTGCCCCGGGCAGCAGGGTGGGGAGGAGCAAGGACTCGGTGCGCAGGCTCCCCCTCCCTCCCCTGCCTCCGGAACGCGGCAATCAGCTGACTTGCAGACTTTAGAAGGGAGGGGCGGGAGGGGTGAGGAGGTGCGGGGGAGAAGAGGCGGGTCAAGGGTAGGGGTTTGGGGGAAGGGGTGGAGTGGACAGGCTGAGGATTGAGCCCCCCGCCCCTGGTGCTTGCAGAGTAGGGGAAGCTGCCCTGGAACATAACCCCCACTCTTTACATTAATTCTTATAGGGACATTGGAGTCGCTTAACATCGTTTCACTTAAAGTCACATTTTTCAGGAACATAACTACAACGTTAAGTGAGGAGTTACTGTATGTACATTATGTACAGATTGGAAGGGTTAATGTGAGTATCAAGGAGGCCAAAGAGGAGGAATCAAAAAGGGGAAATTATGAGAGCCTGGATGAGAGTTTTTGCAATAGGGACTGAAAGAAAATGTGTGAGGTGGGGAGTTCCATGAGTTGAGGAAGGGGATCCCAGGTCACCAGCCACTTGCCTCTGCCCAAGTCCCAACCCTTTCTCCTTGAAGGAGGGAAAGAGTTAAACACCTGGAACAAGTTCTATATTAAGCAATAAAATACTTATCGTGGTGAGGCAACACCAGGAGTAAACCCAGGTAAGGATCTCTAGCACAAGTTACACAGTTTCTCCTTGGTGCAACATATATCATACAACATACAACCCTCCCATGCTTAGCTAGACAAGCACATGCTCTTTGTTCTGAATCAACTCAAACCCCCTTGCTTCCACAAAACATCTCTAAAATATGGCCTTTCCTATCCACCCACAAAGCTAAAACTCATCTCACATATCTACTATTGTAATAGCCTTCTCTTGGGGCTTGACAAATGCAAACTTGTACACTCATTTCAATGCAGAAATGTTGCTGCAAAGATCATTTTCCTAGCCAGTCTCTGACCACATCTCCACTCTCTTTGCATCCCCCTTCCTATCACATCAAACATAAGCTACTGGTCTTCACTTTAAACCCCTCCCAACTTATTGCCATCTTATCTATCATCTCTCATTCACCACTGCGATGTCAACTCTCACCTGTGATCACCCCATGAAGCCAGGCTCTATCTCCATTTATTATATTTTCAAACAAGCTCCTTACTTTTTTCTCTCATGCTGGACCTCATGTTTGGAAGGAACTCCACATAAACATCCACAAAACTAACACCTTTAAAACTATGAGTTGGACTCCTAGGTATTACAGTAATACAAATAATTAACAACAAGCCTGAGCTCCAGGGAGGTTGGTGGTCTTTGTCAACAATAACAAATAATTGGGAGGGTTTGTGAGGAAAAATAAGGAGTTAACTTTTGACAATGCTGAATTTGAGCAGCAATCCAGCAGGAGATGTCAGAATGACAGGCTGAGATGTGGAAATGAATGGATGAAAAAAAAACTCAGGAGCAAACAAATTAGAGAGTCATCAGCATAGAGATATTAACTAAAGCCATGTGGAGCAGATAAAATCATCTAAAGCAGGAGTGCTCAACCTATGATCTATGACCCACCAGAGCATTTCCTAAGGCCGGCAGCCTGCTTCAATGCAATGTACGAACAGCTGATTCATTAGAGTTTTGTCGTCAAGTTTACATGATTTTAGTTTACACAAGTGTGTAAAAATACTGTACCTAGAAACCACCTAAATATGTACCAAATAAGCAGAACTTAAAATATAAATCAATACAGGTGACTTTAAATCTCTTTTGGCCCACACAAGGTTGTGCTTAGGTTTATGTATCCCTCCTGTGTAATAAGGCTGGGCACCACTGATCTAAAGAATGACAAAGAAAATAAAAGGGGCAAAGGATAGATTCCTGTGGAATCACTATGGCAAGCGGGACAGAGGATGATGACCAGTAGGGTTACCATATTTAAAAAAATAAAAAAGAGGACACTCCACGGGGCCCTGGCCCTGCCTCTTTCCCAACCCCGGCCCCGCCCCAACTCCATCCCAACTCCACCCATTCCCCACCCCTTCCCCAAAGTCCCCTGCGTCCCCGGAGCCCA